ACCAAAATGTCACAATGGTGTGGTACTAGAAGCAGGGGCCAGTTTTGGAAAAGGTCCTTTTAAGCTCCTTGACACCCTGACACCTAATCTTTTCTTTCTGATCCCTCTGGGACCAAAGCGCTTCAGAGAGGCAGCTGCTGTGTTTCAGGAGACTCTGAAAGGTGGGTCCCAGCCTGACGCAGCCCGAGAGCTCCGCTCTTGCCTTCTCCAACTCACATTGGTAAGGGGGCCAGGCCCACTGTCATGCTGAGGCGGGTATTGGGGAGAATTGGCTGGGATTGCAATACCAAGCCTCAGGTGGCTAAGGAGGGGGTGGGGAAGGATGGGTGGAATGAGAGGCATGGGCTGTCCTGCTTAGAAGAAGGATCTGGTGCCCTTCTCTCTCCCTTCTCAGCAGGGTCAGCGAAGAGGAATCTGTGTACCACCTCTGTCACCTGGGGCCCTCCAGCCACTTCCCCATGCTGAGCTGGGAGCCTCAGGCCTACCTTCCCTCAGGTGCCCTCGAAGCACTGCTCCGAGGTCCCCTGGCCTGTGTCCACTCTTGCATTATCCTCCGTGTCACCGAAGCCACCCCAGCCAGCCCCTCTCCCAGACTCAGAGTAGAAGGCCCCATCCTCTCCAGCTCCAGGATTCCTCAAAGGGCTGGGACATCCTGGGACTTGGGCTCCAGCATCTACCTCAGGCCAGATGAGGGGGCACCAGTCCCTGTATACATCCCATGGCGGGGGACATAGTGTGGTGGCACTTCACTGCATATTTTGAGACCTTATTTTCTAGATCCATAGTTAATGATGCCCCTAGCAGTCATTCCTCTTGCCATGGGGAAGTTTCTGATGAGAGAAAGGAGCCCCACATCCATTGAAACATCCTTTGGTTCTCAAGCAGAAGGCTTCTTCTAGGGGCAGTAAGGAAAAATAAAACCCAACAAGGCTCAAGAAGGGAACTATAGGAAAGTTCAGGTTTTTAGGCTATAACAGAGACAGTGAGAAAGCATCTGGGCCTTGCTCTTCCTCTTGGTCCTGGGGGCCTCATTCACCAACTAGAGCTTGGTGTGCAGGAACAGGGTCACAATGCTGAGGGGTCTTGAGTCCCACCTTTCAGCTTAATAGATGCTCACCTCTTCCCAGCCCCAGCTCATGCCCTGTTTTTCTAGCCACAGCCCCCAGATTGCTCACAGCTCCTCATGCCATTTCCTGTCCAGATAGCTGTGTATGACTCTCACCTCTCTTGTTCAGTGGTCTGGTGCTCACCTCCTCTCACTGCTAGAATATTCACCAAGGGTTGCATTTGGGAAGTCTCTTACCAGCTCCTGCTTAGAGCTGGTAGGGCCATACATGTCCACACTCCCGACTGGTGGCTCTCCTGCTGAATGGGGCCTCAGCAGGTGCCCAGGCTGCTACAACCTTGGCCACTCTATTTCTCTACCCCACCATTGGGCATTGTAATTAGCCTTTCCCCATGTTAATTTATGGGTCAACTGAATTCCCCACTTCCTGTGTAAGAATCATGATCTCCTTTTAATTTCACCACTAAGATCCTGGCAGCTTCCCCTAGCTGGTTCTTCCGTAGTCCTACTGGGACTGTCAGCTCATTTAAATGTGGGTCTGCAGGAGGCTTTAGCTCTCCCCCAAGCCCCTTGCCTTTCACAGAGGAACCATTCATCAGGATAAATGATTATTGCTGCCCTATGGGTCTTGCTCAATACTGTTCATACTTGGAGAGAGGAGGTATTGAAACATCTCCTTTATGTGTGACTTTCGCAAATTTTAAAAAATTGTTTATGGTTTAGGCCCCTTAAATACTGTGTAGCAGGATGAAGTCTACCATTACCAGCTGAGTCACCTTGGACGGGTCTGTCAACATCTAAGCCTCAGTTCCCTCATCTATAAAAATGAGGGTAGTCCCTACCTCATAAGAGATATTGTGAGGATGGAAAGCGAAAGTGTGAGAAAATACCTCCCAAGTGCCTGGTACATAGTGGGTGCTAAATAAACCAGTTTTTGTCTGCAACTGTCCTACATAGTCATGCTTCCCACAGTAGGAAGAGAGGAGTATGGGTGAATTGGTACTGAAATTCACAAAATCTATAGTTCTGGGACTGTGATTCTCAAAGTGTGGTTTCTAAGCTAGCAGCATCAGCATCATCCAGGAACTTATTAGAAATGCAATTTCTCAGGCTGGGCACAGTGGCTCACGTCTGTAATCCCAGCAGGGGAGATTACAGGGAGATTACTTGGGAGGCCAAGACGGGTGGATCAGGTCAGGAGTTTGAGACCAGCCTGACCAACGTGGAGAAATGCCTCCTCTACTAAAAATACAAAATTAACCAGGCGTGGTGTCACGTGCCTGTAATCCCAGCTACTCAGGAGGCTGAGGCAGGAGAATCACTTGAACCCGGGAGGCGGAGGTTGCGGTGAGCCAAGATCGCGCCATTGCACTCCAGCCTGGGTAACGAGCAAACCTCCTCTCAAAAAAAAAAAAAAAAAAAGAAAGAAATGCAATTTCTCAGGCCCCATCCTAGACCTTCTATGTCAGAAACCATGGGAGCAGAGCCCAGCAATTTGTGTTTCAATAAACCTCCCAAGTGATCCTGATGCACACTGTTCGAGGGCGTAGCTGAGCAGACCTTGATCCAGAGGCCATTTTGGTGGGACAGGTTTGAGTTTTGTTGTCCAAGGCTTGAGTGTAAGAGGTGGCAGTGCTAGCTGGGCGAGAATTTGGGAAACCTTAACGGGGAGAGAGGTTATGACTCAAAGCCAGTTAACTTGACTGGACCCTACCTTCCTAACTAGAAGGATTTGCCGTGAGAGTTCTTTGCTCACCCCTGGTTGGGGAGCAGGATGGGCATAGGTGGTTGTGTTTGTTCAAGGGGTGATTATATTACAGTGGTTCCATTATATTACAGTGGTCTGCTCATCTGGCTTTCCGTTTTTGAGCAGGGACCTGCGCGCTTTTGGGACTTCTGTGGGGCTCCTGGCCTCTCAAACAACGGCCGCCCACCACTACTCAATGGTATTTTTGCCTTCCAGCTGAACTGGCTCCTTGTTCTAGCTTCTCAAGTAAATGTTCCCTCCCCGGTACCTTAGCCTGTCCTGGACTTCTAGGTTTTCCAAGAGTCATGTGACTCCTGACACTTTGCCGCACTTTCACCCTCCTAATTAATAGGGGTCTGACCCAATAGCCTGAGTTCTGAGTTCCCAGGACTAGAAAGTTGGGTGACCAACCATCCTGGTTTTCCTGGAACTGAGGGATGTCCTGGAATGAGGGACTTTCAGTGCCAAAACTTGGAAAATGCTGGGCAGATGGAAAAGAGTTGATCACTCTACTGGAAATGTTCCAGAGAGGCATTATTTAGAAGGTATGAAGGGAGTACTGAGGGGGCAATGCAGTTGCAAAGAGGTTTTTTTTGCATATGCATAATGGCTGACAGATTCTTAGCTCTACACCAGTGGTCACTGTCTGTTTCCATGTTGCCATTTTTCTTCCAGTTGCCGACATTTGCTAGGTTGTCATTGACTCATGCAATCCTTAATCCCTGGGGCAATCGCAGATTCCTCTTCTGTGACCACCTCCCAGCCCCACCTCAAGTCTGGCCCTGAGTTCTCTCTGTTGTTACCTTCTGCAGTGGCCAGAGATATACTCCCTTCCTCAGGTCTCTATCAGTCTCTGATCCACCCTGCGCCCACAGCCAGATTGGCCTACCCTAAACAATGGTCTCATGTCTCTCTCTAAAACCTCCTGGGACCATGCTCTAAAGTACAATGCCTAAGTTCCTACCTGTGGCCCTTTCTCCTCCCCTCTCTCTGTAAATCCTTTGCTGCTTTCCTTTAGGATCAGTCACCTTTATAGAGACCAAGAGCATGGGCTCCTGAATCAGACAAGCAAACAACTCAGTCCCTGTGCTACCACTTGCAAACTGTCACCTGGCCAAGTTTCCTCAGGGTTCTGTGATTCAGTCTCCTTATCCTTAAAATGGGAAGAAAATTCTCTGTCCCGTTGGGTTATTTTAAGGATTAATACCTGCAAAGCACTTGGAACTGCTTAATAAATGGTAGTTAATTGTCTGAAAATGCCAGGTTCCCTTCTACCTTCCAGCCTTGTTCACTCCCCAAGGCATATCCTCTCTTGGGCCCTCCACCTGCAACTAAGGCCCTAGCTGACCCCCCTTGAACCCATGGAGCTTCCTTGAAAGTGGGGTTGTCACACTTAGGCAGAGGCAGGAGAAAGTCTGAAGAGAGCTGGAGGACTGACAGGAGAGAAGGGAAGCAGGAAAGACAACTGAGCTTGGTCTGGGACCACTGGGGAGGGGAAGGCTTGCAACTACTGAGCGTTCCCCCTCCTCTCCCCTCATACTGCAGGAGGGTGATTATCACCAGTGGAATAAATGAATGTCAGAAATGTCCACTGGCTGAGTTAGGCTGGAATCCCTACTACTCCAAGCTTCACCCCAGCGGGCCAGGCCTTTCCACCCTCTGGCTGCTGGCACCATTGTAGTGGGAACATTTCCAGCCCAGGGGCCTGGCAGAGGGCTTCCAAGTAGGGGTGTGGCCTCTCTGGGCACCCATCTCTTTGCCTGTGTCCCAGCGGAGGGTTCTTTTGGCAGGATGGGGAAAGGGTCAGGCACCCATTAACAAATGACCTATGGGTAGGGAAGCAATGTCATCACTCTGGGGCCAACCTAGGGATTAGAATCAAGGTCTCCCAGGCACAGAGTAGGTGGGCCAAGACCCCACTGTCTTTTACTTAGGCCTGGCGACTTCCCCTTGGTAGACTGGTAAGCATCAGCTCTGAAGGCTGGCTGGATGCTGGGTCCAAAACTTGACCTTAGGGTTCTTACTTTGTAAAAATGGCGTAATTATTACCTACCTTAAGGGTTGCTATAAGGGCTAAAGGAAACATTGCATTGAAAGCCCTGGCACAGTGCCAAGTGCAGACTCTCCATAGCACTTTACAGATGTTACTGTTCTTTGCTCATGACGGGAGTCTGAATAGAGGCATGGTGCGGCAGAGTCTCGACTTTATTCTAAAATATTGGGAAAGGTAGCCTGGACAACATAGCGGGACCTCCTCTCTAAAAAAAAGTTTTTAAAATTAGCCTGAGGTGGGGCTGCACGCCTGTGATCCCAGCTAGTCAGGAGATTGAAGCAGGAGGATCGCTTGAGCCAAGGAGGTCGAGGCTGCAGTGAGTGGTGATCGCTCCACGGCACTCCAGCCTGGGCGACAGAGCGAGGCCCTGTCTCAAACAACAAAACAAACTTACAAAAAAAAACCGGGAAAGGTGAGCGTCTGGGCTGTGGGCCGGAAGAGGCCCAAGTGGACCTCTTTCCTCCACCCTGGAACTCGGGCAGGAGGCAGAGCACGAGGTGAGGAGTCCCGGACCCCAGAGCCCAGGGTTGGCGGCGGCTTTGTCTTCAATCGTCCACCTGTATCTCCTCGTCTGACTGGTGGGGCCGGGAGTCAGGGCCGGCGGGTCCGAGGCGGAGGCTGGGATCTGGAGCGCCGTCGGGCAGTGCTAAGCTGCACAGGACTTCGGGGGACAGCGCACGTAGCGAGGCGACGTCGGCCCGCATCTCCTCCACGTCGCGCTTGAGCTTGGCTCGTCGGTTCTGGAACCAAGTGACCACTTGCGCGTTGGCCAGGCCTAGTCGCGTAGCTAGCCCGTCTCGCTCGGACGGCGCCAGGTACTTCTGGAAGACGAAGCGCCGCTCCAGCTCCAGCACCTGTTGCGCAGTGAACGCCGTGCGTGACTTGCGCCGTTTGCGGCCGGCAGGGCCAGGGCCCAGCGCGTTCGCGGCTGCCCGCCCTGCAGGGATAGGGAGGGGGTCAGTTTCCAGCCTCCGGGAATCAGGCTGCGGCCTGGAAAGAAAAATTGGGGGTGGGGTTGGGCCGGTGGCGGTGGGGAAAGTAGAGGGAGAGCCAGGAAGGCGGATGGGGACCAGAACTGTGATCCCTTACCGGGAGTCAGGCCCAGGTGGGGATAAGGGACGCAAAGCGGGCAGGCCACAAGGATACGAAAGGCAGCAGGCTGAGGGCGTATTGTAGGGGCAAGGAAGTGAAGGAAGGGAGGGATGATTCAGAGGGGACCGGGTGCAGGGTCAAACCTTCTGGGGTGGAGCCTTTGAGGCTTTTAGGAGCCTCAGGCTGAGCAGGCTATACGTTGAGGGTGACACCAGAGGCGAGTAAGAGTCAGGGCAGCCGACCCAGCGTGGCGGTGTTAACAGGACTTAGATCATGCCCTTCCATGGATCAGGTCGGGCATTCGGCTTACAGTTTCTTAGTGACACCAGAGCCCGCTCCTCGAGCCCAAAAGGGAAGATAATGAGGTACAGAGAGTGAGGAAAGGCAGAGTGCGGAGTCCCGCGCCCAATGCTGCGCCAAGGACTTTCTGCTCCTTGACTTCCCTCGAGAAGAGAGTGCCTTGGAGCGGAGCTTGGTCACCCGGAGAGACTCGACCCTCTTTCCAGCGCTTTCTGTGCCTCCCTTGCAGGCTCAGTCGTTTACCGCCTGCGGCTCAAGCCTTTTGTCTCTTTCTCTCCTGCCTTTCTCTATCGCGACTGCCCTGCCTACAGGGAACAGAGCAACTGGTAGCTCAGTTGGCGACAGTCTGCCCTTTCCCTGCGGTACTGGCGGCCTTCCGGAGCCGCCGCGGAAACTAGGGACTAACGGAAGAGAGGTGAGAAGTCGCAGGTGCGAGTCCTGGCATGTGGGCTGAGGACAGGGGACGGATTAGGGTGGGTGGTCTGGGGTGGGACAAAGGTTTGAGACGGGGAACCAGGAGGAGAGAGGTGGGGAAAAGGCCAAGTCAGAGTCCGCGACCTTGCCGGCTCTATACCTTCAGAGGGCTGCGGGGCGCGCGCGTCAAGTCCGCGGAAAGTTTTACTAGTCAGCTCCTCCAGCGCGCACAGCGGCGACGTTGGACCCGGACCCGACTCTGGAAGCTGCGGCGCAGAGGGTGCTCGGGGGACCATGCCCGGGGCTAGGATGTCTGCGATGCTTAAGAGTGTCCGGGGTGTTCGGGGCTCGCGTCCCGAGTTCATGGTCGGCCGGGCTGGGGCGGTCCCGCTGCCCGCTGCGCTCGGCTCCGCAGCCGCCTGGGCCCCAGCGCTTGGCTCCCGATCCGGGCCCCTAGCCTCGGACCCGCCCCCGGCTCTGGGCCCGAGTCCCGTGTGCCCCTCCTCCTGCGTCCCCACCTCTCCACCATGGGCCCTGGTGGGTTTGGAGCTCCTAGATGTCCGGGGAGGGTAATTCTACAGGCTGGGGCAGGCGCGGAGAGCAGAAGCCGACCAAACTACCCTTCAGAGCAGGGCCGCGGGGCTGCTCCGCGCTGCGGGGTGCTGCACTGTGCACAGTCAGGCCGGGCCATACCTCCAGACGCTGTATGCCGCCGACTCCCCGCCTAGCAGCCGCTCTGGCTCATAAACTCGTAGACGATAAAATTGCCTTCTCTGGCCCCAGCGGCTGGGGATTTGCAAAGTTCTAAGGAAGGCTATCAGGGCTGACTGTGCTGGGATATCTGATCCCAGCTAGGACCTCAGTCTCCTAACCTGGCTCCCTCTTCCCCACCCCACCCCTGAGAAACGTTGTTTAAAAGGTCCTGGCGGCTGGAAGTGATTAGTGCTGCGTGGGTCGGGGGCGCAACACTTGGAAGGACCTGGCCTGGCCAAGCGACTGCAACTGGGAGTAGTGGGGATGCCACGAAGAAGCAAGCACAGGTGAATGGATTCGAGGCTGCCCCACCTGACGAGGTCAGAACACACAGAGAAGCTGCCAGGAGACCCGGGCCGCAGGAGAGAAGACCCAGGGAACTCCAAACTGGTGCAACTGCCCAGGAGGGGTCTTTGTCAGTGAGGACTGGCAAAATCAGTCGATTTTGTCTGTCTTTGTCTTCTTCTTCTTAAGCTCCCATAGTTCAGGTATGTATGGTTTCCCCAGCCTGCGGAGGCTCAGAAACTGCCAAGGGGAGCAAAGTGCCCTGGCCAGAGAGGGGTCACTCCCCATAGAAGAGAGACTTGAAGGGCAGACTTTACGAACCCAACTGGATCTTGGGACAGGCATCCTGACAACCCAGGTGCTAACTGTGAGGCCTGGTGTATTCATTCCTCTTTAATCCGGGTTTTATCTGCCACACTTATACTGGTTCTGGGCTCATACCTGGGTAAGCACCTGCAGCCCTCCTTTGTAGGAAGAAGGCAGCTCAGGGACAGCGGTGCCTCAGCAGTGGAGACCCAGCAAGGTCTGGGTTTTGTTCCTACAATCCACCCCAAACAGTTGGAGGATTCACAGCCCAGAGGCAGGGAAGCCCTGCCACTCCTGGGGAGCTTGCAGCTTTGCTGCCCAGGGAAGTTAGAAACTGATGTGCTTCTAGCTTTTTAAAACAGTGCCACGAAGAACCAGGCCAGTCCCTCCTGGACTGTCCATTATGTCACTTTCTTTGTAGACTGCTGCGTCTCCCACCATCTGTGCAGTGTCCACCTGTCTATTCCCTGGGGCAACTGCAGCATGCAATTGGAGTTCCCTAAACAGGGCTTAGGAGATCCAAGGCACCTGGGCCAAAGACTCTTTGACAAAGATGGGAAGGCACCTTCATAGGGTCTTCTTGGTAAAGGGCTCACTCCAACAACCCCCCTCCCCCACCCGCAACATTCACACAATGCCCTCCTGGAAAGCTGAGCAACACACTTAAAGCCTGATAGGCCACTGCTGGATCAAAGAGCAGAGCCAGGCCATGGTGGAAAGCTGAGCTGCCTCCGGACCTTGTTAAATGGTTATTAATGGTGAGGGGCAGAGGAGGTCCTGGAGAGATCTTCGGGCTACAGGCCTCAGCCCTGGAAACCATCCCAGTGGTTTCACTTAATGTGTAATAAAGCAGCTCTCTGGAGGCAGCAGGAACTGCCCCACTGCATCCCAGGCATGTCACCAAGCAGACGCTGCAATCTTCACTCATATATCCTCTATGTGGCTTTTGTGTCTGTCTCTACCTCTGCTCTCAATTACTTGCGTGTGTCTGTGAGGAGTGCGGAGCTCCTTATGGGCCTGTGCCTTGCAGCCCCTTCCATCTCTCCCGCCTGGTTCTCCCCTCTGCAGCTGGGCTCAGGTACTGGGATTGGACAGCTCCCAAACATGAGTTTGGGGGAGGAGATGGAAGTGGAGACTAGCAAAGGGAGGAGGCCCAGGACAGCAGAGGCCCCTCTAAGGTCATCATAGCGGCCAGGGACTAGTCCAGGGGATCGTGGGGCCACAGAAGGGGACTTTTCCCAGTACTGGAACTCGAGCTGGGGAGAAACCAGATCCACAGAGAGGGGTAGGAGGAGGGTGAGTGATTAATGAGGAAGATTAAGAGATTAAACCTTGTTCTAGGTTGGGGAGGGGACACTTACTCGGCTGTCCTATAGGCTACCCCCAACCCCAGCTTGGAAGCGCAGAAAATCCCGGGGCTCGCCTCTTCCCGCCCACGGGTGGAACCCTCCCTGTTCAAGATCCTTCTCAAGAGATGCAGGGAGGCCAGCCTTCACCGCTGGCCCCGCGGGGCGGACGGTTTTCCTTCCCTGTCATCCTCAGGCAATCTCTTGTGTTTCCCACCTTCTCAGATTCCTTTTATTGTCCCTTCAGACATTTCAGGGCCCTGCACTCCCTCCCCTTGTAGAGATCCCCACATTCCAAATTCGCTCTCTTGGGAAGGCACCCCATTCCCACTTAAGGATGCTTTCTCAAACCTCCCCTTTCAGATTTCCCATTCTCATCCCCCAGCCCTACCCCCACCTTATCTTGCATCCACCATACCCCATCAGCGGGTTCCTCCACCCTGGGCCGCCCCTGCTCAACCCAGTTCCCCACTGGTGGCACGGAGTCCTGCTCAATAAACGACCTTTAGTCTCTGATTGCCTGGCCCGGACATTCCACTGAATTCTGTGAATGTGTAGGAGGGTTGGAGGACCCTCAGAATAACCCCTTGGGGAGGTGGACAAGGACAATCTCAGAGAAGAGCTTGCCCCCCTCCTCCCCACCCTTAGGAAACGTCTGTGAACAGGAGTGAGAGGGAAGTGGGAGTTCAGGGAGGAAAGTCCAGGCGGAGGAGCTTGAGAAGGGGCGTCCGTCCGTCCCGCACACTTCTGGGATTGTTTTCTTTTTCAAAAAGAGCTACTGCGGAGTGAACCGATCCTTATATTTTAGTTTCATGACTTGGGGCGCGGCAGGCCTGTGAGTTGTTTTGCGCCCTGGACGTTGTTTTGCAAAGATCTCTGCGCGCCCACCACCACCCTCCCGGGTGTGCGGGTGGGGAAGCAGCCAGCGGTGGGAAACTCGGACGCCCTCCCCGACACTTTTCTCCCCCCAACTCCGCAATAATCACTTTTAGGGAAGTCCTTTTTCCCATCAAGCCCTGGGAATGATTGGCCAGGCTGAGAGAGGGACCCGTCCTCCTCTGTGCCAAAGGCTGGAGCAAATCCTGGTGCTGTCGCCTTTGCGTGTGAGTCCTGGAAATGGCGGGATTGAGGAAGGTGGGCAGAGGCAAGGTTTGGCCCCCCAGGGGAGAACGGACGCCTTGTCCCGGAAGTGCAGCACGGCCGAGAGTCCGGGGGTGCAGACAGCGCCCTGGGGTGGTCCTGCCGCCGCCTCTCCTTTGACTCCGGAGCGCCGCGCGGCGTCCGGGCGCGTTCTCAGTCGCTCGAAGCCAGAGAGGACCCTGGGCGTGATTCTCCCTCCCTGGCACAGACGGAGACCCGAGTGACCCCGGGGTCCGGGTGGGAGTGGGGAACGGACCCATAGGCCCGGGACGAGCGGCGCGGAGCCCGCAGCTGGCCAGCTTCAGCCACCTTGGGAGACGCAGTGCAGCTGCCGCTGCTGACAGACTAGACGAAGGCTCGGCGGGGCCCCACCCCAGATCCGGCCAGAGCGCCTTCCGCGCTGCTTGGCCTCAAGGCGTGAGTCACCAAGGGCCTCAAGTTCCGTGGCTTGGTTCTCAGGGTCTCCGGCCTCGGGCCCATTAATCTTCAGACCCGGCTTTTTCGACGCCGAGCTGCCGCCTAGCCCCAATGGCAGGGCCTTCCAGGAAGACCAAGTCGGACTGCTCCCCAACTCCCGCAGCTGCTCGGCCCCTGCAAAGCCCCGGGGAGCGTTTCTACTCTCCCTTGAGCCCATGCCACTCCCCTGTCACTCCTAGGAAACTCGTTTTTGCGCAGAAACTCCTGGAGAACAGCCCTGGCCGCCACGTACTCGCCCGGACTGCAAAGCCCACAGAGCTTCAATTCGGAGGAAGAGGAGTGGGGAGCCCTGAGCTGGGGTGTTCCTGGAGGAGGTCGAGGAGGGGGCTAGTGGGGGAGAGGCATTCCCTGGAAACGTTTGGAAGCTTTGGTAATCTTGGAGACCATGTCAGGAAAGAAGCGTACTCATGCCGTCCGCGGTGTGCCCACCCGGGTCCCCATCAGTGCCCCACGCACTCGAGCTCTTCCTCGGTGTCTGCAGCCTCTTCATCCGCGGAGAGGCGGAGGTCTCCCGGAAAGCCAGTCCGACTGTGGCACCCCAGAGCGTCCAATGCGAGCTCAGGCCTTTCCCACAAGTCTGGAGTTTTCTTACCCAGTTGAGGCCGCCTTTGCTGTACTCACTCCCTACCCTCCCGCCCCATCCTCTGCCACCCTACCTCCATCTTTGATGGTTAGCGCCTTCAGCCCTCAACAGCTTCGCACAACCAATCCCCTAGAAGCTGTGAAGTCAGACCAGCCAGGGTGGGACCTAGGTTTTAACTCGGGTTCTGGCTACACATGCTGCGCCTCCATACAGTTTGTCCCAGATTTGGCAGCAGGCCGGAACTCTGCTTTGGCCTCTGTCTGTTCGTGTCGCAGTTGGGCAAGTTTCTAGCTACCCCACTGAGAGGACCATAGAACAAGGACCCTGGCATGGCATACAGACAAGGAATGTTTGCTCAATTAATGGAGCTGGTGCCTTGCGGCTTCCCTCTTGTTCCTTGAAGTTGCCCTTGCTGTCCTCCACATCAGCTCCCTCTCCTCCTCAGCTACTTATTCCCCATCCTGACTTCTAGTCTTGATCCCCAAGTACTTGTTGAATTCTGTATGGACAGCCAAGCATCCACTTCTGACAATCCCTGTGGCCCCACCCCATTTGTTTTTTAGACTTCTCCTTTTTGTCCCCATCCCCCAAGTTATAAAACTATAACACAATTCTTTGGATTTTTCTTTAAAATATCTCACTTGTTCAATCCTGCAGCAGCCACTGTCCAACTCCAGCCTTCTCACCACCGCTGAATTAGGACATCTCCTAAGAGGCCCGCACTCACACTGTATGCTGCAGCATACAAGGACAGCTGAGAGCTCCCCTCGAGGAAGGCTTCCCATCACCAAAAAGAGTGGTGTGGGAGGCCTGGTTTCACACATATAGGGATCCTCTACCCTTCTCCTTTGGCAAGACATTGAGCGCCCATGGCCATAGAGCACAGGTCCTTCTTCACAATGAAACTCAGGATTTTTGAAGAAGGCAGGACACAGCATGAGTGTGAGGCAGGAAGAATAAGGAAGAGAGGTGCTTTTTAAAAGTTTTTATTTCAAAAAATAAAGCTGCAGTTCATTTCACATAAATATCTGGGGAGGGAAGGGGAGTGGGATGGGGTGGGGGCTTGGCCCCTACCTCCTCTTCTCTTTCACACTGTATTGTAAAAGCAAAGGGGATGGCTAAGGAGAGAATGAGAAAGTAGTAGTCAGTAGGGAGTATTATTATATTATCCAAAGGGCCCCTCAGCCCACCCTTCCCCTGGGGACTGTGGGTTGGTTGGGGGGAGTCTGAAGGGGGGTGAAGCCAGGGAGGGTGGCCTGGCTTACCTTGCCGAACCAGCGGGAGAGCCATATCTGCTTCATTGTCATGTGATCAGGGAGAACTTCATTGTCAAAAAGGAGCTGCACCTAGGAGGGAGATGGGGGTATAATTTTAGGAACTTTCTGGCACGTCAAAAACTACCCTGGTCCACCCTAGACTCTGTCCCTCCTTTCTTAGCCCCTTCTCCCCTCCAAGAAACCAACTGTGAGACTACTCACATGCTGAGGGTTTAGCATCAAGCGGTGACACAGGACCCTCCGGAGATGGCGTACCTCAGCTCTAACAGAACATCGGACATACTTGTTCTGGGAGCAGGGAGGGGAGGGAAGAGGGCAAGGTGTGTGAGGGAAGGGCCATGGGAGGTGAGTCTCCTTAGAGAGGCCCTCCCCTCAGCCCTTCTCACCTGCAGGACGCTTTTATTCTTGTCTTTGCCAGAACTGGGGGGAAATGGACACAGGTTAGGGAACCCTATCTTTCCTCCTCTCCCCCACCCAGAGCCATGAAATACTCTCTTCAAGGGGATAGGCACTCACTCACTGCTCGGCCTCTCCCCCATACCCTCCCTGGCTCTGGGTCATTGGCACTGTCACCTTCTGCAACCCCTGACCTTCTCCTACCTCAGCCGCTCCAGGCACAGGTTCAGCTGCTCATCATAGCGATAGTAGTGGGCTTTAGAGTGGTCAAAGCTGCTGAAGGGGAGGCCAAGGTTGCTCAGTGCTGGCTCTGAGAAAGATAGGGTAGTGAGGTGGCTGGTGGCACACATTCCATACTCCTCTTTCCCCAGAGAGCAAAACTGGGCAAGAAGAATGCTCTGGGGGCTTTACTCTCCCACGGCCAAGGACATACCTTCTCCACTGGGCTGGGTGACCCGGTCCAAACCTCGGGACTGGTAGAATTCCCGAATCCGTTTCTCTTCACCTAGAAGAAGGTGAAATATGAGAATAAAGTATTAGCCCCTCCTCACTCTTTGTCCTTCCCTCATCTTTGGCCTTCTGCCTACATGATTCCTACCAAAGCCCCTGTCACCTCAAGCTGCCACTCAGCAATTAGTCCTCAAGAAGCCCCTCAAAGTCAGGTTGGTCACTCACTGTCTTGCAAGCCAGGCACCAGCTTGTACACGATGTCCTGCATGACCCGGTCCAGTTTGAGGTTGAGCAGTGGCTGTGTCTCATGGATCTTAATGTTGCACATGGGGCAGTACTTGCTAGTTTGGAGGTACTTCACAATACAACTCTTGCAGACTGCAGGAAAAGAAAAGCAGATTCTCAGGCCCTCTGGAAACTGGATTCATGGGCTGGGTGGGGTGCCTGGATTCGTGGGGCAGGCCGCACAGAAGCTGGCAGTCGGCTTGGTGAAGACTAGGGACTGGAAGAACTAGGCAGTCTCCAAGGCACTCACAAGTATGAAGACACTCTGTGATGGTGGTGGCATCCACGAAGTAGCCGGCGCATAGGCAGCAAACAATGTGTTCATTCAAGTCTTTGATCTTCACTCGAACTTCCTCCTGAATATACACCCTCCGTCACCAACCATCCACCCTCAGCCCCCAACCCGTGCGCCTTCCCACTCTGGGGGTCGCCTCCTTCATCACACTCCACGGCCAAGCCCCGCGTCCTGCGCCATCAGCCGGGGATGAGCTCCAGGGGGCTGGCACTCCCCCTCCGCCCAGCAGAGGGCTCCGCGCACAGCGGGGGCTTCCCTCACGTGGACTCGCCTGACCCTCCTTTCCCAGGGGAGACTACACAACGTCGGCGACACAATGCGCAGGCGTCCTAAGCGGAGTTTGGCAACCCGATCGCAATCACGCAGGCGCACTGGGTACTCTGTCTCTGCGCAGGCGCACTGGGCGCCCGGCCAGCCACCGCCCGTCCTTTAGCCCGCCCCAGTTCGCACCGCTGGCCGACCACAGCAGTAACCCTGCCGCCCTTGCACCTCGTTCCGTAGCGGGTCCATCTTGTACACTGACTGGAGCTGGTTCCGAAGCCTCATCGCGATCGCAATCTGGCCCCCCTGAGGAGACGCCATCTTAAAGGCTGATCCCAGCCTGCCACTTCCGGTGCCGCCTGCAGGGCGGGACTTGTCTCCCAGCAACGAGGTTCTAGGTCTTTTCGGATTCGCTCACCCTCTGTAAGGCCCCGCCCACGTTCCTTTCTCCCCGTGTGCTCACCTGAGCCCCACCGACCCCTCCCCTCCTCAATCCGTAATTAAGGAGTGGTGGGGGGGCATAGGGAAGGGTCCTATCTCTTCAGCCTCCTGTAGAACTCATCATAATAGACCCTAAGCGACCTCAAGACTAACTTTTGGAGCCTGCGAAAGACTGCCCCCTCCTACCCCCAAAGGCCCGGCAGTCTTGTGCCTGCTACCCGCTCAGGGTCGTCGGTCTTCTGTGACGACCAGCCTGCTGAAGAAGCCCCTCCTGGGTCCTCTCCTCGTAATGCCGCCCTGTCGGCGTCCGCGGAGCGGAGCTTCATCCAGATGGCGGGCCTTCTCCCCGCTCCACGGAGGGAGTTTCTCGGGCTTTGCAGAGTCTCGGAGAGGGTGCCGGGGGATGGGGAGGGAGAGACCCCCAGGGACTTGGTAGTGATCTTATCCCCCCATTCTCCCCCTGCTGCCGGGGATGGGGGGGCAGGCCCTGGTTAATGATGATGATTTAATCATCGGCGCCTGCGGAGGCCTGGGACAGACTAATGCAGAGCAGATGCCGAAGGAGGAGGGGAGGACGACTAGGACACTGCCACACACAGACAGGCTTAGGCAGCGAGCGCCTGTAGTAGCATAGGCCCAGCCTCGCACTTGGGGATTACGCGGGATGCTCGAGAGCTCTACACCGCCAGCCCTGGGTACTTAAAAAGGGATACATTTCCTTTGAGGTATTAACATCAAATGTAACTGGAGATTCGAGAAGGGAGAGATTCCAATGGAGACCTCAAAAAGGCTTTCTGGAGAAAGTGGGACTTTGGGCACAATTTAGACTTGGGGGAGGGGGTGGAAGTGTGCTGAAATAGGAAGGACGTGGAGGGGAATGACCAGAGGACAGGAAGGTCAAGATGTAGATTTGAGAGTGGTAATAGAAAAAGCAGGGCCTTAAAGAGTTGCGATTTTTAGCCTGAGGGCAATTGGGAGCTAGCGGACTTCTTTGAAGGGAGGAGGTTATCCTGTGAAAGTGACATTTTTGTTCATTTCTCTTCAGAGGGAATTGGAGTGAATATGCAGCAAGAAGTTTTGAGATTAGTGATTAATCAACTATTCATTACAGCCACTGTTTACCTACTTCCCTGGTCCAAGTCACTATCCTCTGTAGTGTCTTCTTGACTGTTTTCCTTGAGTCCCCCCTTCGCGTGTTCTCAACATAACAGCTCAGTGCTATGTTTCTCAGAGCCAGTGATTCTGATAAAATATGAAACACAAAGGACAAAGGACAATTTTTGAGATGTAGATGTGTTTATTATTTTTATGGTGATGTTGGTTTCATGGGTATATACATATGTCAAAACTTAAACTGTACACTTCAAATATCTGCAGTTTATATGTCCATTATACCTCAAGAAAGCTATTAAAAATAAAGTTGAAAAATTAGGTTGTTTCTTTTTTACTGTTTAAAACCTGTTGAGAGCTTCCCTTTTCAATCAGAATAAAAGTCAAAGTCTTACAGTGGTGTGCAAGGGCCTGCATAGTCTCTTCAGATACACCAGGATATCCTTCCACTGTGTCCCCAACTTGAAATGCTTAGGTATCCAAAATGGCTCCCCCCTTCTTTCAGGTCTTTACTCATGAGGCTTCTGTAATCACTCTAGATGAATAACAACTCACCCACCCTTTCACTTCCTTGCTTTTTTTTTGGTTAGCATTTATTAGCATTCTTAGCATTTATTATTATTTAATATACGTTTCTAATATATATTATAAATATTTTCTAGTTATTTTCAGAAAACATTTTCTAGAAAACATATTTCCTGGTTTTTCATCTGCCTTTTCCACTAGACTATAAGCTTCTCAGTGGCAAGGATGTTTTTCCTCTGTTGTGTTCACAGATACAGCTCCAGTGCCAGCTGCATAGTTGGTGTTCAATAAAAATTTTCTGGATGAATACATGAATGAATCCAAGTGGTGGTGATGACAGCCTCAATTAGGGTTTTAGCAATGGCAATGGAAAGGAAGGGCTGTATCTGAAACATTTCAAAGGAAAGTATAATAGGAGGAAGTAGCCAGGAACCTGGCTTGGTAGGCCTGGGTAAGAGGGTGAAAGAAGAGCTTTGGAGGGAAGCATGTCTTCCAGCCTGCTGGACTTAGGTGGCTGCAGGGAAGCAGGGGGAGCTTTTTAGAAGGCTAGAAGAGTGAGTGGTGGGGCTGAAGTGTCAGAACGAACCAGGGATGGAGGTCTCAGAGTTATCTGACTGGATATGAGAGTTGGGACTTTTGGAATGGGTGGAACTTGAGCAGATGTAGAGATAAAGAAAGTTTAAGGCCTGGCGCAGTGGCTCACGCCTGTAATTCCAGCACTTTGGGAGGCTGAGGTGGGTGGATACTTGAGCCCAGGAGTTGGAGACCAGCCTGGGCAACATGGTGGGACTCCGTCTCTACAAAAAGTACAAAAATTAGCCTGGCATGGTGGCGCATACCTGTAGTCCCAGCTACTTGGGAGGCTGAGGTGGGAAGACTGCTCGAGCCTGGGAGGTTGAGGCAGCAGTGAACTATGATCGTGCTACTGCACTCCAGCCTGAGCAACAGAGTGAAATCCCATGTCTTAAAAAAAAAGAAAAAAGAAAGCTTAAGTGTGAGCTCTGAAGAATCCTCACAGTCTTCAGTGGAAAAAGCCAAATCAGTGGAAGAAAAACGTAAGCAGTGACTACGAAAGTCCAAAGATGTGGAATAAGATATTACAGAAGCAAAAAGAAGGGACACTTCAAAAAATAATTGATGACCAACAAAGTAAAACATGTCAGGGAAGTCCTGGAGGAGGGATACTGAACACTGGAGCTCTCTGAGAAAGGGTTACTATAATGAAGGCAGCTTGCACTGAGTTAAGAATAAATCATGATGAAATGGAGGCAGTACGCATGAAGTAAAAAGGAAAGGAAAAACATGATCTCTTTTGAAGACTCAGGCCAAGATTTTGTCCAGATAATAAAGATCTGAGACAGTTGAGGCATAGGAAAGACTAAGTTGATGAGAGCCACGGACACACAGGACATGGTGAGACAGATCCAAAGCAGTGTGTTTGAGGGGGCACTCATTCCAGCACCTCTATCTTCAACATAAACCAGCAGGAACAATCCTTTCCCTGTGAATCAGATTCAAGGAGGCAAGAAAGGACATTTCAAGCCAGGTTGGGGTGGTGGCACACACCTGTAACTCTAGATACTCAGGAGGTCAAGGTGGGAGGATTGTTTGAGCCCAGGAGTTTGAGGCCAGTCAGCCAGCCTGGGCATCATAGTGAGACTCTGTCTCTTAAAAAAAGAGAAAGTCCTAGGACTGTGGTCTGAGTGACATAACTGGATACCATCTGTTCTTGAAGTGGGGCACTAAAATATTTTTAAAACTCCCCAGAAGACTTGTATGAACTACTGAGTTTGTGACCATTCTTAAATGATTAGTTGGACAGTCTCTGGGTGGCAGTACCATCTGTGCTGAACTCAAAAGGCAGGGGTGTGTGTACGGGTCTGCATGATGTTGCCTTTTTTTTCATTTGTTGATTCACTCACTGACTCATTCAAGGATTTATTTAGGTTGGCTGGAGACACACTGGTTACCCTGCCCCCCTGCCCCCAGACTCACCCTTCAGAGCAGAGAAAGGGACTAGCAAACTTCTAACCTGCACACCAGCCCCCCATTCAGAGATTATATTTCTTTGCTGTCTTCCTAGGTTCCCTGTTCCCATCTGGGGGAATCCAGCCCTTGCTATCAAGGAAGATTTTTTTTTTTTTTTGAGATGGAGTCTTGCTGTCACCCCAGATTGGAATGCAGTAGTGATCTCGGCTCACTGAAACCTCTGCCTCCCGGATTCAAGTGATTCGCCTGCCTCAGCCTCCCCAGTAGCTGGGATTATAGGTGCCTGCCACCATGCCCAGCTAATTTTTTTGTATTTTTAGTAGAGACAGGGTTTCACCATGTTGGCCAGGCTGGTCTGTCTTGAACTCCTGACATCAGGTGATCTGCCCCCTCTTGGCCTTCCAAAGTGCTGGGATTACAGGTGTGAGTCACTGCTCCCGGCCTGAAGATTTGGACTAAACAGGTTCATGCTTCCTTGTAGCCCTCTCAACTGCTGAGAAAAGTGCATAGGTTTCTGTAAAGGGATGGGAGGTGATAATGTTGTTTGTCTTCTCCATCAAGATGAAAATACATCTGCTGAATTGGTAGGAGCCCCCATCCTCTTTCAGAACAGGCTGTGAGCAGGGCTGAGGAGGGGCTGGACAAATTGGATAGTAGAGGTGGTCAAGATGGGGGAGGTTGACACTTTTTTTTTTTTTGAGACAGAGTCTTGCTCTGTCGCCCAGGCTAGAGTGCAGTGGAACGATCTCGCCTCAGTGCAAGCTCCACCTCCTGGGTTCATGCCATTCTCCTGCCTCAGCCTCCCAAGTAGCTGGGACTACAGGCACCTACCACCACGCCCGGCTAATTTTTGTATTTTCAGTAGAGACGGGGTTTCACCGTGTTAACCAGGATGGTCTCAATCTCCTGACCTCGTGATCCCCCCCCACCGCGGCCTCGGTCCCCCAAAGTGCTGGGGTTACAGGCGTGAGCCACTGCGCCCACCAGGTTGACACTGTTCCCCCCTACTGCCCTCTGTCCCATTTATGGTTCACCTCCTCTAGACATAAGGCTTCGGAGAACACTGGAGGGCTGGTAGGGCTGGTGGACAGAGCTCACTCTTCTTTCTCTTCATCTTCCTGCCCAGATGCCCAAATATCATTCCTGGTTCCCAGGGGAGAAAAGACTCCCTCACCCTGCCCCAGGCACCAGGCTGCCGGCCCATCTGCTGGGGAGAAAGGAGGGGGCAAAGTCTTTCCCAGGGGATCCTGAAGAATCAGTTTGAAGATCAGTGCTCCCAGGGAGATCCAGCTACTAGACTTCCAAGGCATTTCGGTTCACACGGGAAACCAGCAGGATGGAGCTGAACAGCGGAGTGGGCTGGGGACGAGGGTAGAGGGCTGGCACAGCAGAGTAAGGTCCTTTGGCTACCACGTGTCAGAGGTAGGCTGAGCTGCTCCTTGGTGCCCACCCGCCATCGCCACCGCAGGATGGTAGAAGCGCCCCCCTCTCTGAGCCCAGTCTCACCGGCTCAGAGGCGCCAGGGCCCCCCCGGGGGCCGGGGCGGGCCGGAGAAGGTAATGTAATTCCGGCCCAGCTAACCCGATTACGGCGGCCTGCACCGGGCAGGGCGGCGGCGGGGGCGGGTCTAAGGCTCAGGGGCCAGTCCAGCGGGGGTCCCATCCCCGGGAAGGACGCAGAGTTCACACACTCCCAGCTCCTGGATCCACGGCCAGAGGTCACAGGGTCACCAAGCGGCTTGGGTCTTTCCCCACCTCCCTTCTCTGACAGCTCCAGGCCATTTTCTGATTTTGGGTGGGGTAAAATGTTTATGGGAAACAAGGCGGCCAGGATCCAACCAAGGCCTCAGTGTGGTCCCACGTGTCCCTTGTGGCGAGATTTCGCCCTCCCGCCGTTGAGGAGGAAGAGTGTGAGAACAGACTTCCTAGGCACAGAATGGGGGGGCAGAGTCCTGCACTGGGGACTCCCTGCACTTGGGGTCCGGGGTAGAGCGCCAGCCCCAAGAACCCACCGGCCTGATTTGGCCGGGGTTGAGCCATGGTCCAGTTTACACGGATTTCGGAAAATCGAAATTCTAAGAAACACGGGACATCAATTACCGGTGCGCATGAACAGGGCTGCGGGGGACCTGCAGGAGAGGCCGGAAGGTGCACCA